TCATAGCAACATGCATGGGAACACTACACATGACTATATCCAGAGAATCTAATAGCAATTGTGAACATGAAAAAGAAAAATAGATCAAATTTTTGTGTTGTTTCTCTAGGAATGAATTGAATTGTTAGAAAAATACATGAATTAACTTAGGACTGTTCAAAAAAATAGCGCAGTGTTTTGTATTCCTTCTATTTTACCAAAACTCAATCATTCTACTATATATACTGATTGAATGTTTGAAGATTGTTGCTTTCCTTTGAAAATCACTTTAGAATACTAATTTGGTTGTAGTACGCGACTGTTTTCTCTGAGAACTGCATGTACATCTGTGTTGCATGGAGTCAACCCAACTTCTGCCCCTGTGATCAGGTTATTCCAGGTCCCAGTATGATTGGAAACTACATTCCACAGTAATTCGCCTCTATTTCTTTCTTGTTTTGCCTCAGAAACTGCGATTTTACGATGTCTTCCCATACAAGTATTTTCTATTGTATTCATGATTGAGCCGTGGGTATTGGGCTGGCCCACTCCATAACGTCATTATTCGTTGGTCTGGAATACTAGATGTTGCAAGCACGTTTTAACTGGTTGGTGTGTTTGGGTCGTTGTCGTTGTTGGATACTCCCATTTCAAGGGCATTTATAGATCCTCTACTTAGAATAACGGCCAGCCTGACACTCGTTAAGTGTTGTCTGATATGCATCAAACTGATCTCATGATCACCAAAAGGTATGTGCGATATAATAGGCCAACACCGTTAGTGGATGAGTAAACTGATCCCTCATACATCATGATGCTTGCACACCACCAGTGCTTGCAATGTCTTCACTTTGTCAGTGTACTGTGGCTTGAAGCTGGTCAGTGTTTGGGTAGTCATCTGATCTATACTGTTCGGCCCACTATTCGACCCAAGTAAAGTAACAATCTTACTTTACATCACTCTCAGCAAAATGTTGCGGCCATTTCTCTTTAGGCCAGTCAATGTGCTCTTTGGCAAATTGTAACCTCTTCATGCACATTCTTTTTTTCCAACAGTGGGACTTTGTCGCTAGGGCTTCTTGTTGAATAGCTTGCTTCAGCATAGGCACTTCTAATTGTAAAAGTCCCTCACAGGGATACTTTAACACCTTCTTTCAATCTTCGAGTTGATTGTTGGTACGGCTGAGCCCTTGCCATTTCGGCTACTTCTTCTAGTGACTCATTTCGAATCGTGTTTTGATCGCTTTCTTCCACGTTTTCTACTTTCAGGTTTTGGTTTCCTCTTTTTAACAGCGATTTGCGATTGCATTTTATGCTGACAGCCTATAGATTTTCTGCAACTTCGTTTTATGTGTTTCCCCCTCAACAATCAACTTTTTAATCAACGGTTAACGCTGTTTTCTTCTGAACAATGTCTTGGAACGACCCATTTTCCTCAGAATTTCAGAGAGAAATGCTACTGTAAACAGCATGTACAAACATTTGCTGCCTTCCTTCCTTATAATATCTGGATAATAAATTGGCCACCTGTTTTTCAATAAGAATGAAGGAACCTCACTATTGAACTCTACACACTTGCTATTATTTTGAACATTTCCCCTTTTTCAATTAGTGATTCACAATGTGTCACAGAATCAGCAGCATGCATGTCATGGTCTGTAGGATGAAATGTGATTTAGGATTTTCTATTACTCTAGGACCTACACCTGGCTGGGTTTGTAAGATTATTTGCCATGTAGAAATATCATTTATATCCAAAATACATAGTGTGATTGATCAGGTTAGTGATGTCTGACTGCTATGTTATTTTGACCCACTACTGTTAATGAAGGGCCATAGCGACGGGCGAACATGTGGACGATTTTTTGAACGATAAACAAATAATCGGTCATTCGTTTCGACATATCGTCTTACCACCTGATCATAAACAAATTAAAATATCGTTCCATCTAAATCATTAAATGTTCACATCATAACTTCCTGTTCCTTTCGAGGTAACTGCTTATGCTGCAGAGATATTGTTGGAGAAGTGTAATAACGATCGTACGATTTGGACCTGAGATCATTGCCGGGGAAAATAGTGATGATCGTCCCAATGATGTCGGCCGAAAAGGATCTTCCCAACATTGAATGGTACCGATAATCTGAAAGTGCATAATTCACAAACGAAAAACAGGAACGACAAACTAATTCCACTAACGGTTTTGAGGGGGAGGTCGGGCCATTTTTTTGTTTCAGCAGCCGAAAAATCGGGCCGGTCGATTAATGACCCTATCTATGGCCTCTCATTCGTGTGTTTATGTGAGTTGGTTTGCAATAAAAGTTTATTCGAAAGTCTACAAACTGTGGTATTTAAAAATGGAATTGGGGTTATATGTATTTTTGTGTCTGGAGTTTGGGAAGATTTGGGGGGGGGTGGGGTGCTAGGATGGGGTTGTGGGGAGAGAGTGGAAATTTGTGCTGGTAAAGGGGGAAGCGTTTTGTGTTTGGAAAAGGGAAATTTACTTTGTGGAAGGGGGGGGGGGTGGATCTGGGGTGTTGTCTTGGTTCCTAGAAGGAAAGAATTGTTTTTTTTGGGGAGGGGGGGATCGTTGTACTAGTAGAGATGATTGGGGTATATTTGTGCTACGGAGAGGAAGATGTTGAGAAGGATATGTCCTGAGAAGGGAAGAGGAAAAAGGGATAAGTGGAATTTATCTGGTAGGGATGGAGGGTAAAGGATGGAGTGAGTGGGATGAGGGGTGAAGTTGTCTAGGAGCGAGAGTGTTTTTTTGAGGGTAGGTTAAAGAGGGTGTATAGTGGGAAAATAGAAATGGTATGGATATGGATGGAGTGGAAATTTGTGCTGTGGAGGTTGGGATTTTGATGTAGGTGGTGGAGGATTTGTGCTAGAGGGGAGTTATTTGGGGAGGGGGTGTTGTGCGAGTAGGGATGATTGGGGGTGGTATTATGTGCTAGGATGGGGAACTGGGGAAAGGAGAGAATTTGTCCTAGAGAGGAGGGGTTTGGGAAAAGGGGGGGAGGGAAAAGGATTTGTAGGGGGGGGGTTTTTTGTGGGGAAAGGGGGGTTGTGTGGGGGCCCCCGGGGAGAGAGGGGAATTTTAAAGGCTGGGGGGGAAAAAAGATTTGTGTGGGGGGGGGGTTTCTAGGGGGGTTGGATTTGTCGGGGAAAGGGGGAATTTCAAAAAGGGGGGGGGATTTGTTTGGGGAGAGGAATTTTTTTGGGGGGGTTTGTTTTGGTACAGGGGAGAGGGTTTGTTTGGGGGGGTAAATTTGTACAGGGAGGGGGGATTTCATTTGGGGGGGTGGATTTGTACAGGGGGGGGGTTTCCCATTTGGGGCGGTGGTTTTTGTCCAGGGAAAGGAGGATTTCATGGGGGGGTGGTTTTGTACGGGGGGGGGTTTTCAGTAGGGGCGGTGGATTTGTACGGGGAAGGGGGTTTAAAGTAGGGGCGGTGGATTTGAAAAAAAGGGGGGGGGTTTTTTCAGGGGGGGGGAATTTGTAAAAGGAGGGGGATTTCAGGGGGGGATGTGTTTTTGTACGGGGAGGGGGGATTTCTTTTGGGGGGGTAAATTTTGGGAAAGGAAAAGGGGGGATTTCATTGGGGGGTGGTTTTGAAACAGGGGGGGGGGATTTAAAAGGGGGGGGTGAAATTTGAAACAGGGGGGGGGGATTTCATTGGGGGGGTGGATTTGAAACCAGGGGGGGGGGGAATGTTTTACTTGGGGGGGAAAAGCATGCGATTAGTGCTCAAATTTTTCCCTTTTTTTTGGAGGGGGGGAATTTTGCTGACAAAATGCTCAAAAATATCTGGGGGGGGTTGGACCGGGTTGTAGAGGGACCTTGTCTGACGTGTATGGCAATGGTGGGCCCGGGGGGTTACCGCCATCATTTTGGATTTTCCTTTATGAAAGGGGCCCCCGCCTTCCCCCGGGGCGTGATGGCGTGCAACAGAAACCAGGGGGGCCGCCCCCACCCCTCCCCGCCCTGCCCCTTGGACGGGGTTTTCCCCAAAAGCCGTTTGGGGATATTTTAGTGGTTGTGCTTTTGTTGGGGTTTGTTTTGGGTTGGGTGTCTTGGTCTGTGGGGTGTCTGGTTGGGTTGTACCGTGGTGTGTGCTGTGGGGTAGTACCGTTGGGTGAACTGGTGGGGTGTGCTGTTGGTGTACCATGGGTGTTCTGTTGGGTGAACCGTGGGGTGTGCTGTTGGTGTACCGTGGTGTTCTGTTGGTTACTTGGGGGGAGCAGTTTGGGTTACCGTGGGGTGTGCCGTTGGTTGCCCGTGCGGTGAGCCGTGTGTGCCGTGGGGTGAGCCGTGGGGTGTGCCGTTGGGTGGCCTTGGTGTACCGTGGGGTGTGCCGTTGGGTGTACCGGGGGTGTGCCGTTGGGTGTACCTGTGGGGCTTGTTGTACCGGTTGGGTGTACCCGTGGGGTGTACCTGTGTGGTTGGTTGCGTTTTTTATGTACCGTGGGGTGATTGTAAGTGTTAGGGATTTCACTTTCTGTTGCTGTCAGGAGGGGTGGAGCTTCCCTTTAAGTCCCTTTACTCAGTGCGGGTCTCTCCTTGAAGAGGAGGAGTTCCCCTTTAGGACAAGGCTCAGTGTGTAGAGGGCAGCAGGGGACGTCCTGCACCGAGCACACAGGAGACAGTAGGGTCACAGTGCTGGGAGGATGGAGGCCGGTTTAGCGGCAACATGAGAATGCCATGAATCGGTACACGTCCTCCCTGGGATACTCATTGTACCGCTACCACCGGTGTCCGGTCACTCAGTGTCCTATGAGGGGGTGGTGTGACGTCAGCTCCCGCCGCCTATCTACACACCATATAACACACACTTCACAAAGAGCTCCGCCCCTCCCGACCACGTGCACGAACTTTCCCCCGGGAACGCCTCCCCATTGGCCGGATTTGGCCCATGATGTTGGTGCGGAGGGCTGGACTGGGCGGAGCCCCCGGCCTCCTATGGACTGACATGTGAGGGGAGCTTGTGTAACCGGCAGTCCGACCTGACACTGAGGGAATGCTGAGCGCCGAGAACATGGCCGCCGCCTACCGAACCCTGCACCGACTCCTACTACCTCACTGTGAGTGCCGACCGGGGTTACCATGGCAACACTACCCTGTCTATAACTAAGCTCCACATCCCCCCCCCTGTATATACACTGAGCTCCACATCCCCCCCCCCCCCCCCGTATATACACTGAGCTCCACATCCCCCCCTGTATATACACTGAGCTCCACATCCCCCCCCCCCCCTGTATATACACTGAGCTCCACATCCCCCCCCCTGTATATACACTGAGCTCCACATCCCCCCCCCCCTGTATATACACTGAGCTCCACATCCCCCCCCCCTGTATATACACTGAGCTCCACATCCCCCCCCCCTGTATATACACTGAGCTCACATCCCCCCCCCTGTATATACACTGAGCTCCACATCCCCCCCCCCCTGTATATACACTGAGCTCCACATCCCCCCCCCCCTAGTGTATATACACTGAGCTCCACATCCCCCCCCCCCTGTATATACACTGAGCTCCACATCCCCCCCCCCCCCCCCTGTATATACACTGAGCTCCACATCCCCCCCCCCCTGTATATACACTGAGCTCCACATCCCCCCCCCCTGTATATACACTGAGCTCCACATCCCCCCCCCCCCCCGTATACACTGAGCTCCACATCCCCCCCCCCCGTATATACACTGAGCTCCACATCCCCCCCACGTATATACACTGAGCTCCACATCCCCCCCCCGTATATACACTGAGCTCCACATCCCCCCCCCCCGTATATACACTGAGCTCCACATCCCCCCCCCCCCGTATATACACTGAGCTCCACATCCCCCCCCCCCGTATATACACTGAGCTCCAACATCCCCCCCCGTATATACACTGAGCTCCACATCCCCCCCCCCTGTATATATACACTGAGCTCCACATCCCCCCCCCCGTATATACACTGAGCTCCACATCCCCCCCCCCGTATATACACTGAGCTCCACATCCCCCCCCCCGTATATAACTGACACTGAGCTCCACACCCCCCCCCCCGTATATACACTGGAGCTCCACACCCCCCCCGTATATACACTGAGCTCCCACACCACCCCCCCGTATATACCTGAGCTCCACACCCCCCCCCGTATATACACTGACATCCCCCCCCCCGTACTATACACTGAGCTCCACATCCCCCCCCCCGTATATACACTGAGCTCCACATCCCCCCCCCCGTATATACACTGAGCTCCACACCCCCCCCCCCGTATATACACTGACTCAACACATACCCCCCCCCCCACGTATATACACTGAGCTCCACACCCCCCCCACCGTATATACACTGAGCTCACACCCCCCCCCCCGTATATACACTGAGCTCCACAGTCCCCCCCCCCCGTATATACACTGAGCTCCACCCCGTATTATACACTGACATCCCCCCCCGTATATACCTGAGCTCCATCCCCCCCCCCTGTATATACACTGAGCTCACACACTGAGCTCCACATCCCCCCCCCCCCCCTATATACACTGAGCTCCACCCCCCCCCCCGTTTATTACACTGAGCCCCCCCCCACTGAAGCTCCACATATCCCCCACGTAAGTACACTGAGCTCCACATCCCCCCCCCCCCCTGTATATACACTGAGCTCCACACCCCCCCCCGTATGTACACTGAGCTCCAACACCCCCCCCGTATGTACACTGAGCTCAACCCCCCCCCCCGTATGTACACTGAGCTCCACACCCCCCCCGTATGTACACTGAGCTCCCACACACCCCCACGTATGTACACTGAGCTCCCCCCCCCCCCCGTATGTACACTGAGCTCCACACACCCCCCCCCCCCGTATATACACTGAGCTCCACACCCCCCCCCCGTATTGTACACTGAGCTCCACACCCCCCCGTTTGTACACTGAGCTCCACATCCCCCCCCCCGTATAACACTGAGCTCCACACCCCCCCCCGTATTAGATACACTGAGCTCCACACCCCCCCCCCCCCCCCGTCCCCCCCCCCACCCCGTATGTACACAGAGCTCCACACCCCCCCGTATATATACACTGAGCCCCCCCCCCCTGTATGTACACTGATGCTCCAACATCCCCCCCCCCGTGATATACACCAGAGCTCCACATCCCCCCCCCCCCTGGTATATACACTGAGCTCCACATCCCCCCCCCCCCCCGTATATACACTGAGCTCCACATCCCCCCCGGGTGTATATATTACTGAGCTCCACATCCCCTCCATACCCCCCCCCCGTATATACACTCCTCATCCCCCCCCCTGAGCTCCCACATCCCCCCCCCGTATATACACTGAGCTCCACATCCCCCCCCCCCCTGTTATATACACTGAGCTCCACAGCCCTCCCCCCGTATATACACTGAGCTCCCACATCCCCCCCCCCGTATATACACTGAGCTCCAGCATCCCCCCCGTATATACACTGAGCTCCACCCCCCCCCGTATATACACTGAGCTCCACATCCCCCCCTGTATATACACTGAGCTCCACATCCCCCCCCGTATATACACTGAGACTCCACATCCCCCACCCCGTATACCACAACTTGAGCTCCCATCCCCCCGTATACACACTGAGGCTCCAACATCCCCCCCCACGTATACACACTGAGCTCCACATCCCCCCCCCCCGTATACACACTGAGAGCTCCACATCCCCCCCCCCCCGTATACACACTGAGCGCTCCACATTTCCCCCCCCCCTGTATAACACTGAGCTCCACATCCCCCCCGTATACACACTGAGTTCCACATCTCCCCCCCCCCCCTGTATATACACTGAGCTCCACATCCCCCCCCCCCTGTATATACACTGAGCTCCACATCCCCCCTCCCCTGTATATACACTGAACTCCTCATCCCCCCCTCATAAAAGTGCACAGAGCTCCACATCCCCCCCCCATGTGTGTACACAGAGCTCCACAACATCCCCCCCCCCCCCATGTGTGTACACTGAGCTCCATGCTGTGAGCGGACACTGGATGCTCTCCTTGCAGACCTCATGTTGTCCATCGTGCAGTGCAGATTGTATCCTGTGTACCATACATGGACACCACTGAGCTGTCTCGGTCTGTCACCCTGCACTCCTCTGTCACTGTGATGCCACCTTGCACCCTGTCCTGGCATTGTGGTGCACTTACACTTTACTCTGACATGCAGCCATGATTTAAATAAAGGAGGGGGCATGACCTGGGGGGCTCATCATGTGTTGTATGTATGTGTGCTGACAGGGAACATACTAAAAGGAGGAGAGAGCAGAGTGCTGAGCTCATCAGGCTCCTGCTGCTCCTTCACACTCCAGTCCCAGGCAGAGGGTGGGGAGGTGACCAGGCTGTGTGCAGCCCCATCTATAGCAGAGAAAGGTCCGGTCACCAGCCTGTCTCTGCTCTCTGGCAGAGCTGTGTAATTGTGAGGACTGATGGACAGAAATACAAATCCTCCGGCAGGTAATTGTCTTCCCTATATCTGATTGGTGCAGTTCTGTGTTGTATGGTGTGTGTGTTGTGTTCTGACCCGTGCACCCCGTAGTTTGACATGTGGGATGGCAATAGTCCTATGCAATTGGGGGGGTCACTGGTATTTGCTTTGCTTGGTGACCTTCAGCTGGAGAGAGGTGTGTGTTCTCTCAGACTGGATGGAGTATTTCACAATTCATTGCTGGCTATAGTGTTTTCCCTGTTACATCCTCCTCGGGCTCCCTGTATAACAGGGTCTCTTTATAAAACAGGAAATGTGACGTTCCCCTACTAAAAATTCACCGGCAGTGAATGTTATCATTTAGAACACATGCAACTGGAAGATTTCTCTGCAGTTAATGTCAGGTCACTCATTGTTAAACTTGAGGTTGGGGAGTGGTAAAAACACACGGTTGAATTTTTAGCCCCCCAACTGCTGGTCTTTATGGCAGCAGAAGGAAGTAGACACATGTAGAGGCCATGCTGATTTTGTTTTGTGGCAAGAATTAAAACCACCTGTAGTGTTCAGCAGGTGCTACCAGTCAAGGGAATCGGGCCGCACTGCAAACTCCTCGCAGCCGCGTCCAGTGCACATGGTTGCTGTGTGATGGGGGCAGCATGTACGGGATTAAGGCTTGGTTCACATCCAGGGGCAGACTGACAACTCATGGGGCCCCCCGGGCAATACGGGATCATGGGGCCCCTGTGTCCCTTGCCAAAACTCAAAAAAGCCTATGAAAAAGGTACCAGGGGCATCTCATGGGGCCCCCTACTGACCCCGGGCCCTCAGGCAGTGCCCGAGTTTCCAAATGGTCAGTCCGCCCCTGTTCACATCTATACAGGTGGTTGTTGATGCATTTCTATCGCGTTTTTTAATGCATTTTTGTGTTGGGGGGGGGGGGGGGGGGGGGGGGTTTGCTATTAGAATTGTATGACAGTTCTGTTCATGTAGTGGGACTTTGATGCGACTTCACATTACTAATACAACCACTTAGGGCAGTTTCACATTATAGTTTGGCTGAAGAGCAGGGTAACGCAGTGTGCGCTCGGTTTTTATGCGTTTCTCATAGACTTCTGTTGGATCGGGTGTTCTTGCTGCGTTTTTCTGAAAGCGCACCACTGATGCAGCATGCGGGACTTTTAGTGTGCTTTCAGAAAAATTCACCAAAACCCGCAATCTAATAGAAGTCTATGGGGAAAGTGCAGGTAACCTGCATGATAACCACCCGTGCTGTGCCCGAGCCACAGTGTTGCAGCGTGAAAGCACCCTTATCTCTACTAAACCCTAACTGAATCATGTGTAGTTTGCTATAGCACTGTGTATAATAAATAAGTGCCATTTTATTTCCCAGTAAATGCCGTTTTCTCTTTATTTCAGGTTCTTGCAGTATATAGTACCGTCAGTTCACACAGCACCTTACATATATATTGTACATTCACATCAGTCCCCATCCTCAAGGAGCTTACAGTATAAGGACCCTAACTCACATTCATACATACACATACTAGGGCCAATTGAGACAGGAGCCCATTAACCTACCAGCATGTCTTTGCAGTGTTGGAGGAAACCGGAGTACCCCGGAGGAAACCCACACAGGCACAGGGAGAACATGCATGCAGGTAGTGCCATGGTTTGGGATTCAGACAACCCTAGTGTTGCTCATTATTTCATTCTTTATTGTACCTCAGTGCTGCTGATCTCCTCAGCTTATTTGCAGCCACTTCATGTTCTGATGCACTTCTGGATGTCTTCTCTCAGGACAGGATTCCTAATCATAACAGCCGAGCATGCCTGTGTAATGTGTTTTGGGCACACACTGTGGGTGGGGGGGGGGTCTCAGTCTCCCAGCTGGACTGCTCATGTGCAATAGAATTCTCATTTATATGTATGGAAAGGCCTGCTGCTATTAGTTCCTATAATGCAAAGCTTACTGCCCCCTGTCTCTGTGTGCTGTCTTCATAGCAGAGCCCGTAGGAATAATCTGTAATATCATGTATACAATTGTGTGTCGTTTTTCTCTTTTATATACTGTAGCTCACTGTATCCCTACACTTTTTTTTTTCTTGCATCTCAATGCTGCTGATCTCATCCATCCACTTTGCAGCAACTTCATGTCTGCATGTACTCTCACCAAAAATTGTACGGGATTTCCTGATAATAACAGTGGACTATACTTACAGGACGTCTCCAACTTACAAGCCGACCTCAATGCACTGTGTAAATTGGGCAAATATGTGGCAAATGAGGTGTTAATGTTGATAAATGTAAGGTTCTGCACTTCGGGGCTAAGAATATGCATGCATCATACATACTAGGGGGGGGGGTACAAACTGGGGGAATCAATGGTGGAGAAGGATCTGGGGGTTCTGGTAGGTAGATCACAAGCTTAATAATGGCATGCAATGCCAAGTTGCGGTTTCTAAAGCGAGCAAAATCCTCTCTTTTTTTTAATTTAAATATTTAGTAATTTTCAAGTAAATAAATTATACAAACTTACTCTTTTAAAAACATTGACACAATTACAGTACATTTATTGTATCACCTTTTCTACCCCCACCCTCCTATCTACCACCCTCCCCACCGACCCAACCCCCTACCCCCCCCCCCCCCCCCCCCCTCCACTTGGCATTTTCCTGTTCCTTTCTGCGGATCCACATCCTCCAAAGAGAAGAGAAAGGTATACTCCTATTATTTTATATTATTCCCCCATACATTCTATATTTAACTTTGGATTTTTAAATTCCTCCCACTTGTTCCATCTTAAATAATATCTCTCCATCTTATCTTCATTCATATGGTAGAGTTCCTCCAAAAATCCTCTTTTGTATTAAAAGAGGTATAGACTCCAGAGAGAGATATCATTTCTCCCCCCCCCCCCCCAGTACAAATCATTAGTAATACCTCATCTGGAATATGCAGTTCAGTTTTGGGTGCCAAGTCACAAAAAGAACATTGGGGAACTGGAGAAAGTGCAGAGAAGGGCAACCAAACTGATAAGAGGCATGGAGGAGATCAGCTATGAGGAAAGATTAGAGGAACTGAATTTATTATCTCTTGAGGAGAGGAGATTAAGGGGGATATGATCAACATGTATAATACATAAGGGGGGGATATGATCACCATGTATAATACATAAGGGGGATATGATCACCATGTATAATACATAAGGGGGGATATGATCTCCATGTATAATACATAAGGGGGGGATATGATCTCCATGTATAATACATAAGGGGGGATATGATCTCCATGTATAATACATAAGGGGGGATATGATCTCCATGTATAATACATAAGGGGGGATATGATCTCCATGTATAATACATAAGGGGGGATATGATCTCCATGTATAATACATAAGGGGGGATATGATCTCCATGTATAATACATAAGGGGGGATATGATCTCCATGTATAATACATAAGGGGGGATATGATCTCCATGTATAATACATAAGGGGGGATATGATCTCCATGTATAATACATAAGGGGGGATATGATCTCCATGTATAATACATAAGGGGGATATGATCTCCATGTATAATACATAAGGGGGGATATGATCTCCATGTATAATACATAAGGGGGGATATGATCTCCATGTATAATACATAAGGGGGGATATGATCTCCATGTATAATACATAAGGGGGGATATGATCTCCATGTATAATACATAAGGGGGGATATGATCTCCATGTATAATACATAAGGGGGGGATATGATCTCCATGTATAATACATAAGGGGGGATATGATCTCCATGTATAATACATAAGGGGGGATATGATCTCCATGTATAATACATAAGGGGGGATATGATCTCCATGTATAATACATAAGGGGGGATATGATCTCCATGTATAATACATAAGGGGGATATGATCTCCATGTATAATACATAAGGGGGGATATGATCACCATGTATAATAAGGGAGGATATGATCTCCATAAGGGGGGGATATGATCTCCATGTATAATACATAAGGGGGGATATGATCTCCATGTATAATACATAAGGGGGATATGATCACCATGTATAATAAGGGAGGATATGATCTCCATAAGGGGGGATATGATCTCCATGTATAATACATAAGGGGGGATATGATCTCCATGTATAATACATAAGGGGGATATGATCTCCATGTATAATACATAAGGGGGGATATGATCACCATGTATAATAAGGGAGGATATGATCTCCATGTATAATACATAAGGGGGGATATGATCACCATGTATAATACATAAGGGGGGATATGATCTCCATGTATAATACATAAGGGGGATATGATCTCCACGTATACTACATAAGGGGGGATATGATCTCCACGTATAATACATAAGGGGGGATATGATCTCCACGTATAACACATAAGGGGGGATATGATCCCCACGTATAACACATAAGGGGGGATATGATCCCCACGTATAACACATAAGGGGGGATATGATCCCCACGTATAACACATAAGGGGGGATATGATCCCCACGTATAACACATAAGGGGGGATATGATCCCCACGTATAACACATAAGGGGGGGATATGATCCCCACGTATAACACATAAGGGGGGGATATGATCCCCACGTATAACACATAAGGGGGGGATATGATCCCCACGTATAACACATAAGGGGGGGATATGATCCCCACGTATAACACATAAGGGGGGGATATGATCTCCACGTATAATACATAAGGGGGGATATGACCTCCATGTATAAATACATCAGTGGTTCATATAGTGAACTCGGTGTAGAGCTATTCACCCTGAGGTCATCACAGAGGACAAGGGGGCACTCTTTACATCTGGAGGAAAAGAAATTTAATCTCCAAACATGGAAAGGTTTCTTCACAGTGAGAGCTGTGAAAATGTGGAATAGACTCCCTCAAGAGTTGGTTCTGGCCAGCTCAGTGGATTGCTTTACAAAAAGGCCTGGATTGTTCCTTGGATACACAGAATATAACTGGATATAACATCTATAGGTAAAGTTGATCCAGGGAATATCTGATTGCCTCTCGGGGGATCAGGAAGGAATTTTTGTCTCTGCAGGAACAAATTGGATCATGCTTTGCTGGGTTTTTTTGCCTTCCTCTGGATCAACTGTGGGTATAGGATTATAACTTTTTTTTTTTTTTTTTTTTTTAATGGTTGAACTGGATGGACTTTTGTCGTTTTTTTTTTTTTTGTTTTTTTTAGCCAGACTAACTATGTAACTTGTACAATGTTCATTAACCACACACTGTGAGGGGCTGTACAGCCTCCCAGCACATGTGCAGAAGAATCCTCATATATTTTTATGGAAAGCTGTCCATTATTTAGTTCATACAAATCAAAGCTTAAGGTGGACCTTTCTCCCTTTTTCTAGATTTCACATCAGCATGCATAAGCGTCGTGGTACGTTCCAGTGCAGGCCATTCATTTCAATAGCTTGTCATATGCGCAAGAAACATGCACACACAAAAAAGAGGTGCTTGCACCATTATAAAAATCATTGTTCACCAAAAAGGGCTTGGTGCACATTTGCAATTTGCATAGGGGTGCCGGTAAGAATTATTGGCCCGCCACGTCTGCAAAGTTGCAACCCGTTTAGGTTCCTTGCAAGAAAGCGCACAATTGTGTGTTCATTCCTGCACCACGTTGGTGTGAAGGATGCCCTAGTGAAGTAAAAAGTAACGTATTCTCTTCTTTTTTGCACAGTAATGAAGGCAGAGGGTACAGCTACTGTGATGAAGTCTCGATGGAGCTCGACGGCGGCAGCTGCTGCAACATCTCAGAGACCTGAAGCAAAGACGCGTGTTCTGCCTGATAAGAGGTACTACCCCTTCTCTGAGCCCAGGGCGGGGAGCCTGGAAACGGCAGATTTTAGGTCTCTTCATGCAGAGACGTTGTAGGGCTCATAAGTTAATATGATGTATGAAAATTTGCATATTCTGTTTATTGTTGTATATAGTACTTTGTACTCTTCTGCGCTGTGTGTTTCCAGGCAGACAATTAGCAATATGTGGCTTCTGCTCACACATCCTTATCTACCAAACCAATCCTGGCCTGTATGTGCAGAGGATGAACTTGAATGTGATTGGTTGCTGTGTTGGGCAATACAGACAGTAATTTCCTTCTCTTCAATACATATGATAATATGATGTTCAGTGCATACAGCCTCTTGTGTTTTTAGCAGGTTCCAGTTCAGGACTGTTCAGAAATGGGGGACATTGGCCGCTGTAGGGGGGCAGCCAGCTGTATATGTGATACAGAAGTGCTCCAGATGAGCTGGAGGAGAGGGGAGTGAACAGCCATTAGAGAGATCCATTTTAAGCTGAACTCCAGCAATTCAGCCACTTTCTAAAATGTGCTGGTCAACTATAGGTTAAGTCCAGCAAGGTGCATGGCACCTTGTGGACTTATTTCTTTCATTTACAGTTTTCCTGTGTACTTGGAGCATAGCTATTTCTATACTTCTGCTCTCAGCTACTGCAGCGGCGTATGCCACCGCTCTGTCCATTCCTCTGTTTCTCCTGCCCAATCACAGAGCACTTTGTATTATGTGAAGCCATTCGCAAAATACAAAGCCTTCTGTGAATGAGCAGCAGAGGGGAAGGTGGGCAGAACTTCTGCTGTATGAGAAAGCAGCATGTCTTCTGTTAGAATGCCGGGAGTATAAGTGATAGATGTACTCCCGGCTTTCAGTAAAACTGTCAGTTGTACATAAAAAAAGAGAACTCCATTGGTGGCATGCACTTTTTGATTAGCAAATTTTGAAAAGTAACTGAATTCCTGGAGTTCACATTTTTTAAAGTGTTACTAAACCCACAACAGTAAAATCAGGAGTCTGTATATGCAGTAAAGCATGCTTGTTATACTCACTGTGGAACCTAAGGGGTTAATCCTCCGCATTGTGTAAAAATACGGTTTGATCCTATCTTATCTGATCCTCCCCTTCTTCCATAGTCCCCAATCCATCTGCTGATAGTACAGAGGAGGCACTCTGCACATGCTCAGTTTGGTGTGTATTGCTAGAGTTTTTGTTGTTTTTGGGGGGTGCATGTGATCAGCACAGGGCCAATCAGTACTGTCCAGACAGAGGGTCAGGGATCCTGCAGCCTCATAGGACAGTCAGAGGAGAATGAAAACTCCTCCTACAAGATTAACCAGTGCTTGGCCGGACAATGATAGATGTCACAAGACTGCTATATACTGCTGATGAGAAAAACCAGAGTTAGACTTACCGGTAACTCCTTTTCTATGAGTCTTCCAGGACAGCCCCCTTGAGACATACAGCGCCTCCCTCTGGGACAGGAAACACTAAGGCATAGCATTTCAAATGGCGGACCAGGTGGCTGCCTTACAGATCTGTTATGGCGAGGCACTGGCTTTCTCTGCCCAGGAGGCTGACAAGGATCTGGTAGCGTGCGCATTAACAAAGGGGGCAGAACGTCTAATAGATTATATGATTTCCGCGATAGCCATCTTAATCCATCTAGCTATGTTGGACTTGGAAACCTTGGAAACCTTCCATGCTCCCACAAAAAGAGAGTCCGAATTTCTGAATTCTCTGGATCTCCTAAGATAAACCAAAAGGCTTCTTCTAATATCCAATAAACTTATTCTTTCCTCCTCCTTGCTTGCTGGAGCAGAACCGAAGGTCGGCAAAATCCTGAGACCTATGAAAGGAGGAGGAAACTTTGGGAAGAAACCCAGGATCTGTTTTTGAGCACAATTCTATCCTCAAACTGTCAAAAAGGACTCCCTAACAGCGCGTGCAATTCACTCACCCGCCGATGTGATTGCTACCTAAAGAACAGTTTTTTTAGAGTTAAAAACTTTGAAGATTTCTCCAGAGGTTCAAAGGGTCGAAGGACCAAAGCTCTTAGAACCAAAGACAGATCCCAAACTGGACAGGACTTTATTGCCGCCGACCTGGATTTGGAAAGAGCCGTGAAAAAATCTATTATAAAGGGATCCTGCTGGAGGGGGACCTGAAGGAAAACACTGAGGGCCGAGGCCTGTACCTTTAAAGTGTTAACAGAAAGGCCCTGATCTGCCCCATCTGCCCAATCCAACACCGCCTGGACATCCGGAGGGCTCCGACCCTTCTCCAGCTACCAGGAGTTGAATTTTTTTTTCCAGACCTTAGTATAAATAGCTCTGGTAACCAGTTGTGGAAGTTTACTGCCGCCTATATGGGCTCCTCAACCAGAGCTGCTGGCATCGGTCATAATAACTGGATAAGGCATATTCCACTCTAGACCTTTGGCTAGATTTACTTGTTTGCGCCACCACCAAAGGGATCTCTTGGTCGGGATCCGGACTGCCAGATCCAAAGTAGATCTATCCCCATTCCAAACCCCCAGAAGGAAAGCCTGCAGTGGCCACTGGTGGAGTCTTGCCCAGGGGACAGCTAGGAAACAAGAGGTCATGAGACCCACTGCATTCTACATTTCTGGTGACACAGGTGGCTGATTAAAGCCGGCTTAAAGCTAATAGAGGTGGAATCCCAGGCCCTGTGGAACAAGATTTCCCCTCTTTTATCCATAGGATCCTTTGGGGGGGCCCCATATCTTCAAATGCCAAGTCCATCCTCTTAGAATCTTTGAATAAGGGGGCGTTCGACTTTAGAACTTTGTTCCATGGGTGGGATCCATCATCTTCCAAAGGAAATCTCCTTTTTAGATTACCTGAACAAAGGGTCTTCCTTTCCGTGTTTTCCCATTCCAACTTAATGGTATCAACCAAGGAACTATGGACCGGAAAAAAACCCTAGTCTTTTTTTTTGCATGTAGACCCTGATACGTGAGGTCATGCTTAGACAGACATGCGTACTCCTCCTCAATCTCTGAGGTTTCGTAGATTACCTTAAGGAGGTCATTCACATCAAGGCCCAATTTGTACTTGGAACCTCTGGAGGTGCAAGCTTCACTGTCGTCCTCTGAGCCTGAACCTGCCTGTGAGGAAGCAAGGGACCTAGGGTCATCTTCCCTTCTTTATACTGCTGTACCACTGACTGGGTCCAAGGCCCCAGCGGTGTCTACATTTTATCTAGCAGGGATATAAAAGATTATGACGTAGCTGTCATGTCATCTTTAATGGAGGTGAGAACCCTATGGCAGGCTGTAAATGACTTATCCTTAACCAGGCTATCCACATAATTGTGGCATAAGGGCTTTTCCCAAGTCGAACCCAATTTTGCTGCGCAAACTGCACACTTCTTCTTAGGGGCCTGACTCTGTCTTGTCCTGGGCTTTAACCTTACACATGCACAAAAACACAATACAGAGGACAATCTGCCCCGGGCTCCTTAACCAAATACCACTGTGCTGGGGGAGACAAAGGGAAGTGTTCTCCACCATTACTTGCACTCAAGAGTCTGGGGAAAAGAAAACCACCCCCAAGAGTCAGCAAGAGGGAACCCCAAGTCCCCAAGCCTACCTGAGAGGAGCCGGTGCCTGAGGAACCAGTGTCCGCCTGCTGAGAGGGGCCAGCCCCTTCCATCAAATCCGTTGTGGTGTGGTATCCACAGCCTCTGCTGGGTTTCCATGCCGCACCGACCGCCTGAGCCGGATGCCTGCGCCGCTGATGGGGACCGAACCATGCGTCTCTTGGCGCCCGCCGATTACGTTACCAACGCCGGACTTCTGGTGTTTGGAGTTCCGCCCCTGGAAGTCACGGCTGCCCCATCCACCTGCCCGCGATCTCTTTGCGCACACTGTGCTGCCGTGCTGGGGAAGGGGGAGGACTGCAAAAGCCCCAAGCTCCCCCAGGAGTCGCTATCCAGGGCCAGGGTAACCATAGTTGGTGGTTTTCTCCTCTGAGGACTGAAGGACATCTAGAGCGCAGCCCCACTCCACTCTATCATGGATGGATCGTGCCGGGGAAGAGGAGGTTCTGTAAAAATAAAACGGGAGCCACCAGCACAACCCTTGAGCCTAGAGCTCCCATACATATTTCTTTGACCGTGTACCTATCCTTCTGGAAGGAAACACTAAAACTGAAGGGGGAGGCCTGGAGGTCCGCCTTTTGAAATGCTGTGCTTTCGTGTTTCCTGTCCCGGACGGAGGAGCTCTACGTCTCAAGGGGTCTGTCCTGGAAGACGTTTTGAGAAAGGTATTTAGCAGTTTATATTTACTAAAATGTGTACTGTGGGAGACCAGATATAGTGAGTGCAGGATCCTGGGTTTAGTAACACTTTAGTTCTAGTAAATATCGAAAAGTGCAGGAATCTTAGAGTAATGCAAATAAATTATATATGTACAGTATACTCATATCTGTAGGGTTGCTAGACACCCATCCCAGGGCCAAGCAATCTGCTGGCAGAGAATATAGCGGTCTCCATGCAAAACATGGTAAGAGCTCACTCTTTATGCCTGCCAGGGTTTTCTGCATGATTATAGACTGAATGGAGGTTGGATCCTGCCACTTACTAGTATGGAGGATAAGGCCCCAAAAATCAAACCAGAACCGTACAAGTACTACAACAGATTGGTTGGTGTTCTTACATTGCAGCTCTGGTATAAAGGATTTGATCCCATCTAAGACCTCTAGTTGCATGGAGTATGCGTGGGTCTTCTAAATTTTTATAAAGCACTCCAACCCTCAGTCCAAGGTGCTTCAAACAATATATCAGTAAGTAATGCTTCCTTGGGTGCAGCCCTCCACAAATCGAGGACATGCCAGAACACTGTAAAAACACACACAGGAGGGCGCAAACTCCTCGTGTATTACCTTAATAAAATGTAATAAATTCAAAGATACAAAAACATACTCAAACACATGAAAACAGCAGACCTATAAGAAGTACACCGTTAGGAGGCTGGTCCTATCACTTCCAACACAACAAACACTTTACTCCTGCGCTAGGAAAGGACTCAGTAGACCCAATAGGAATGTTCTGGAATTTTCTGGAATATGCACTGCTTGCTGCCCTCAAAACACCGGAGTGGTCCAAATACACTGGATACAAATGGAAAAACAGAAAAAGGGCACACCAACCTAGTGCATTATCGTTTCCCCTCAGAGCCAACCTTGGTCATCCAGGGTTCTATCGTTGGCTCTGAGGAAGAGCTTGTGTCCTCGAAACGCGTTAACCAGTTGGTCATTCAGGGTTCCATCGTATGGACTCAGATGTTGTTTGGATCATACATCTTGTTCAGTTTGACATGCCTGTGTTATTATGTCCATTGTGAGTATGATACCTATTTTGTTTCTTCAATTAAATTATTTTAAACGATAATGCACTAGGTCAGTGCGCCCTTTTTCTGTTTCTCCATTTGGTCCTATCACTTGTCTGCTCTGAAGAAGGGAGCCTGACTCCCGAAATGCATTAGCTTTTCCACCAGACGTTTCCGAGATAGGATGAACCTCCTAACACTGTATTCTTTTATATCCAACACAACACTTTTCTCCTGTGCTGGGGATGGACTTAGTAGAACCAATAGGAAGGTTCTGGAATATGCACTGCTTGCTGCCCCCTACAGACCAGGGTGGTCCAAATTCACTAAATGCAAATGGAGAAACAAAAAAAGAGGGCGCATCGACCTAGTGCATTATCGTTTAAAAATATTTATTGAAAGAACAAAGTAAGTATCATACTCACAATGGACATAAAAACACAGGCATGTCAAACTGAACAAGATGTATGATCCAAACAGCATCTGAGTTCATACGATAGAACCCTGGATGACCAAGGTTGGCTCTGAGGAAGAGGTTGTGTCCTCGAAATGCGGTAGCCAGGTGGTCATCCAGGTTCCATCGTATGGACTCAGATGCTGTTTGGATCATACATCTTGTTCAGTTTGACATGCCTGTGTTTTTTATGTCCATTGTGAGTATGATACTTACTTTGTTCTTTCAATAAATATTTTTAAACGATAATGCACTAGGACTGTATTTCTTATATGCCTGCTGTTTCCATGTGTTTTGAGTACGTTTTGTCTCTTGGAATTTATTACATTTTATTAAGGTAATGCACAAGGAGTTTGTGCCCTCTTGTGTGTGTTTTTACAGTGGGTCTTCTTAACACCAAATGCATCTGACAGGTTACTTAGTCTGGACCCGACTGGTCCTTAATCCACGTCATGCTTGAAGTGTATATAAAGTCAAAACATTTTTATTTTTGAATAGATTGTGGAATGGTCCCATTTTTGAGAAATTCCTCTTCATTTCCTGCTATGTAAACCCAACAGGAAGTGAGAGAAAATCTCTTAAATGTGAAGGAAATCTCCTCTAAAGCTCATCATAAACTATACAATCTGATTGTGCAGTCTCCTTTAGATCTACCAACAACTATGTCATGTAAGGTCCTGTGTGATCGGATAGAAATTGATTGCGTTGTATAAGTTTTGTTCTCATATTACATAGTTTTTGGAAAACTTAAATGCGATTGTACTATCAGGTTGTATGGTGTATGGGCAGTCTAAGGGTCATTGCGTGGCTGTCACATTGACACCTGGACCTAAAAGGGTAATGAACTATTGTATAACTGAAAATCTCAGATCCGTTGTGGGTTGTGCAGCTCTTTGTGATGTCTTAATTGTCTGCTTTGTAATGTTTGCCGTAATCCCTGCTGTGTTCTTAGACTCTCCAGGAAACCCAAAACTGGAATCCTTATGCTGAACATGGGAGGTCCAGAGACTGTAGATGATGTTCACGATTTCCTCCTCAGGTTGTTTTTAGACAAAGATCTCATGACACTTCCAGCCCAAAGGTACATAATGCTATGAGATTGTTTACCTCTGTATTAGAGTGTTCATAAACCCACAATAGTACAATCAGTCTGTATATGCAGTAAAGTATGCTGGTTATACTTGCTGTGGAACTTAAGGGGTTAATCCTCCACATTATGTAAAAATGCTGTTTGACCCTGTCCTTCTCTGATCCTCTCCTTCTTCTACTGTCCCCAATCCATTTGCTAGTAGTACAGAGCCTTGGGGGCAAGCTGCACATGCTCCATTTAGTGTATATTGCTGGAGCTTTTTTTTGTTTGTTTTTTTTTTTGAGAGGGTGCATGTGACCAGCACAGGGCCAACCAGCCCTGTCCAGAGAGAGGGTCAGAGATTATGCAGCCTCATAGGACAATCGGGGGAGAATGAAAATTCCTTTTACAAGCTTTAACCAGTGCTTTGCTGGACACTTGAGTCACAAGACTTCTATATATTGCTGATGAGAAAAGGTATTTAGCAGTTTATATTTACTAAAATAATTGCATTTCCTTGTTCTGTGTACTGTGGGAGACCCGATATAGTGGATGCAGGGTCGGGAGATCAGATATAGTGAATGCAGGGTGCGGGGAGATCAGATATAGTGAATGCAGGGTCCGGGGAGATCAGATATAGTGGAATGCAGGGTCCGGGGAGATCAAATATAGTGAATGCAGGGTCCGGGGAGATCAGATATAGTGAATGCAGGGTCCGGGGAGATCAGATATAGTGAATGCAGGGTCCGGGGAGATCAGATATAGTGAATGCAGGGTCCGGGGAGATCAGATATAGTGAATGCAGGGTCCGGGGAGATCAGATATAGTGGATGCAGGGTCCGGGAGATCAGATATAGTGAATGCAGGGTCCGGGGAGATCAGATATAGTGAATGCAGGGTCCGGGGATCAGATATAGTGAATGCAGGGTCCGGGGAGATCAGATCTAGTGGATGCAGGGTCCGGGGAGATCAGATATAGTGAATGCAGGGTCCTGGGTTTAGTAACACTTTAAGTTTGCCATCATCTTGGGATTGGAAGGAATACATACTAAGAAGATAATTCATTTAATTTCCATTTATCATGCCTAAGGCTGCATTCATACCTGAGCGTCTTTGTGTGTTTTGTTACAGCGATTGAGTTTCAGGCATTTTTATATTAGCATTATCTATAGATTTCCATTTCCCTCCCCCCCCGCCCCCGACCTCACTAGGCCATTTTTTGTGATATGGCGCTCCATTACTTTTAAATGACAATTGCGCGGTCATGCAACGCTGTACATAAATGTAATTTGTCCTTTTTTGCCACAAATAGAGCTTTCTTTCGGTGGTATTTGATCACCTCTGCGGTTTTTTATTTTTTGCGCTATAAACAAAGAAAAAGGACCAACATTTTTGAAAAAAATATATATATTTTTGACTTTTTGCTATTTAAATATGTCCAATAGAAAAAACATTAAATCAAATTTTGTCATAAATTTAGACCAAAATGTATTCTGCTACATGTCTTTGGTTAAAAAAAAAAAAATCCCAATACGTGTAAATTAATTGGTTTACTTGAAAGTTATAGCGTCTACAAATGGCAGTATATGTACTAGAATTTTTTTTTTTTTTTTTTATACTAGTAATGGCGAAGATCAGCAACTTGTAGCGGGACTGCGGCGGGCATTCTGACACTGAGTGGGACCTGACTAACTGCCACTGACATCACCAGTGACACCAATACAGTGGTCAGTGCTAATAAAAGGCACTGATACCGTGCTAGTGACACTGGGAAGGAAGGTGTTAACTTCTGGGCGATCAAAGGGTGCAGAGAAATACAAAACATCATGTCCTTGTTGGCAGGAGACAGACCTGTGTTTACACACAGGTCTCTCCCCTGTCCGCTTGCCCTGACGATCGCCAGGTGCTGGTGGGGAACCTCCAGGCGGGACCCGGTGATTGACATGCCTAGCTGCCAATGGCGGAGCGGGTAGGGCGGCGCACACGTGCACTCCCTACTCAGAAATGCAAATTGCGTGTATATATATATATATATATATATATATATTATATATATAATGTGTGTGTGTGATTTTGCGCAGCCCTGCCTCCCCGTAGCTGCTATAGGGCGGCAGGCAAGCGTGTATAAAATGCACAATAAAACAAATTTTTGCATGCACCGATGCAATTCTGTGGGATTCAGAACATTCCAAAAGACTGCAATCTGCCCAATTTGTGCTACAACTCCAGAACTTTTTTGAGCTACAGGCATTTGCGCAGATGTGAACAAGCACGGTAAAGGATACATTTTTTACAAAGCGCTTGGTCTGAATGCAGCCTAAAGGGGCAGCACAGTGACTTAGTTGTTAGAACTTTTGCCTAGCAACACTGGGGTCCTTGTTTCAAATCCTGGTTAAACACTATCTGCATGGAGTGTGCATGTTCTCCCTGTGTTTGCATGGATTTCCTCCGGGTACTCTGGTTTCCTCTCTCACACACCAAAGACATACTGTTAGGACAATTTAACTGTCTAAATTGGCCCTAGTATTGTATGTATGCATGTGACGTAGGCACCATAAGCTGGGACTAATTATTTTGGTTGTCAGGTTGATTTGTTACGTCTGACACTGGAAAAGCTTTGGACCAATAATTCTACATATGAAAAAATATTTAAACTTTTTTCTTATTTGTAAAGAAGGGTAAAACAAAAAATACTAAAGCATTTACATCTTTTATTTTTTTTATTTTTTCCCCCCAGCAAACTTGGGCCATTTATTGCCAGACGGCGAACGCCAAAAATTCAAGAACAATACAGAAAAATTGGAGGTGGCTCTCCTATTAAGAGGTGGACAGCACAGCAAGGTGAAGGCATGGTGAAATTGCTGGACGAACTGTCTCCAGCTACAGGTATGATCTATTTTATATGTGCTTTGACTTTTTTTTTTTTTTCCATACAAACCTTAATGTCTTTCCTGTGACTGTTCAAGCCCAACCCTGGGATGGAAGAAATATCTAAAAAGAACGAACGCTCAAGAGGATGTATGACTTGCCTTGCACCCTTTAGGCTCAATTCTGCGGGTGGTCTGGCAGCATCATCTCATGCAATGACAGGCTATTTCATCCTGCATTATATGTGGAGAAGGCAGGCAAAAGAGGTTTTTACTATCCCCTTTCCTATTACCCCCCCCCCCCCCCCAAAGAAAACCCCCATATATTTTACAATGTAACCTTTCATGTTGTTGAACTGTTTTGGGGCCTAAAGAGACACTCTGTCCCTTTATGGATGTATGAAAGCTGTAAAGATCCAAATTATATAATGGGCTTTCCCTTCTAATCCTATGATCCTATAGCCGCCATAGATGGTTCGAAACTCAGTTCAATAGGTACCAGCCGAGATTTGAACCATGTATGTGTAGGCTAAATGTACCAAGTTGTTTGTTTGTTCGATCAATCATTTTGGGTACAACCATCCTGTTGGATTTTACATGTGATTATAGCTAGCGGTAATCGCTGTTGTCTTCCGGCGGGGATGGCTTCCACTCAATAGCTCCAAAGGATGGATTCCCCCATCAACATGGACTGTGTTGATGGGGGAATCGAGCAATTTTTCTTTCCTGCAATCTGTGGTTGCAGAAAAGAAAATCACTCCATCTATGGTCAGCCTATGTGTGGTTTGTTGTCAACTGGGATGATGGAGTGGAGTGAAAAGGTGGAATTCTTCTGCCATCCTGCCATTCTTAATACTGCCATACACAGTTCAAATTTCAGCTGATTCCAGCTGTACTACAGGGCTGGCATGTGAGAGGAAAAAGCACCACAAGGAGCCAGTCAGTTGAAGTGCTAACAAGAAGCATGCTGATAAGAGGAGAAAGCAGAGTGACAGAGAGATGAGCTCATCACTGTGCTTCTACTTTCACTGTCCAGTCACAGTGCAGGGTTACCCGGGCTCAGAGGAAGTGGTTAGAATGGCGCTGCCCATCAGACTGAGGGCATCCAGTGGGGGGGGGGGGGGGGGGGGGGGGGGAAAGAACTGAGAGAAAATTCTGCTGTAATTAAAACTGTTGGTGCCCATGTTTACACCACTTAGTTCAACAAATGTTGATTGTTTACTCAGCTTTTGTTGAAGGAGCTGGGTGGACAATTGTGTGAATAATGACTGTATCCAATCTAATGCAGTCATTGTTTGGGTATTCTGACAGCCATGAGCTCTGGCTGTCAGGGAACAATAGATGACAGCAGAGGATTCCTCCATCCTCAGTGTACAGTATGGATGCAGGAATGAGCTAGATGTCTTTTCGTTCAGTCTGCAGGCTGAACAAAAAAAAAACTGAACAATGTACGGCCAGTTTTAGATGGCTTCCTGCCAGGGAATTATATGTAACCTTGCTGTATGTCAGGGAATTGAGCTTTATGTTATATTGTAGAGGAGAGGTTTGTGTGACACATTCTTTAAAGAGCTGAGCTTGAGACAGAAATAAAAAGCACAAATGAATAATGCAATTTTACAGTCCTTACTTTAAATGAAAGCAGTGTAAGTATAAAAGGTTGGAGTGTGGGAGAAGCAGCACAAGGAGCCAACTGGTTCATGTGCTGGCAAGAAGCGTGCTGATAGGAGGAGAAAGCAGAGTCACTGAGAGATGAACTGATTACTGTGTTGCTTTGCATTTCTCCATTCACAGGCTGGGGTGGGTCAGGGATGACCTGGGCTCAGAGGAAGTGGGTGGAAAGGTGCTGGCCATTAGAGTGAGGACAAATGCGGGGCAAAATCTCTTAACTGAATCTGAATATTACATCAGAAACTAGTATGAATAGGTTATCTTCTGGTGGGCTGTTCATTTTTGTCTTACGAGCTAGCTTTCTGCTTTACATTTTGTAGTAGTTGACTTTGCATAGAACATATAACAGGGTCTGTGGGAGCCATGGGTGCAAACAGCTCATTATTTTTGTGAACCAAAACCTATCTCTGAATTATTCATTTGGTCAGTTAGTGTACAATGCCACCTATCATCCTTTTGCTATTGGAGATTGATGATGTAGATAAATGTTTTGTAACATGATTGTGTTGTGTCTTAAATAAAAGAAAAGCGATTTGCTTTTAAATATTTGCCAATCACAGATAGCCGAATGACGGCTACACTGCGGCCGGCCAGTTCTGGGAGGGCGTCATATGACGCCCTCCCAGAACGCGCTCTCTTGCGCGCCCTCAGCGTTCTCTTGCGCGCCCTCAGCGTTCTCCGTGATCGCTGTGTCTTACGGATCCCAATCACAGCAGCCTTTTACCACGTGATCAGCCGTGTCCAATGACACGCTGATCACCGGGAAATGCAATTGCCTGTTCTCGGCTGCACTTTCCTCACGCTATCAGAGCATGACGAAAGTACTGCCGAGAACAGGCAGTCGTCAGAGCAGGGATCGGCACTGATCATCAGGGCACTGATGATCGGTGCCTAGCAGTGCCACCCACTAGTGCCACCTACCTGTACCCACTAGTGCCACCTACCTGTGCCCAGCGGTTGCGCCAGTCAGTGCCCAGCGGTTGCGCCAGTCAGTGCCCAGCGGTTGTGCCAGTCAGTGCCCAGCGGTTGCGCCAGTCAGTGCCACCTATCAGTGCTGTCTATCAGTACCCATCATCAGTGCCACCTATCAGCGCCACCTCATTAGTGCCGTCTATCAGTGCCCATCAGTGCTGCCTCATCAACACATCACATCATCATCACACACAGCACATCAGTGAAGGAGAAAAAATTACCTGTTTGAAAAATTTTATAATAGAAACAAAGAAACGTTTTTTTTTTTTTTGCACTTTTTTTGTTTATAGCGCAAAAAGTAAACCGCCCAGCGGCGATTAAATACCACAAAAAGAGAGCTCCATTTGTGAAAATAAAATGATAAAAATGTCATATGGGTAAAATCTTGCATGACCGCGCAATTGTCAATCAAAGTGCGATAGCGCTGAAAGCTGAAAATTGGCCTGGTAAAGGAGGTATAAGTGCCCGGTAGGCAAGTGGTTAATAATGGGCAGGCATCTTTTTAGGTAGGTGGGTTCACAGGCTATACGGAGTCATTTTAGGACACTTTATTGTAAAGAGTTGAACCTGTTGCCATTTTCTAGAAGGACCATCCATTCCATGTAGAACTGTGCTTTGAGATAGTGGAGGTTTGATGGCAATGTTTAAAGCTGTGGGAAGAGATATTGTAAAGTGGGCTGGATGGTATGTTGTCACAGGGAGGGGCGCTGTATACACCTCCTGTGATGATAAGATAGCCATTCACCAAATCGCCCTTGCTAATTCACTTTCATTTTTTTTGTTGCTGATTAGGGCATTCAATGCAGCATATGGTGTACTCATGACATTTACGTTACAGCAAAGTGTTGTGTAGGCAAAATTTAAAAATATCAAAGCGGTATTAAACTCAAAAGCAAGAATTAATTATGTTGCAGCTTACCAATTCTTAGACAGTGTCTCTCTCTCCCCCACTCTGTTTTCTGTTTTTACATCTAAGTGCAGTAGTGATAGGGAAAGTAATAAAAAAAAAAAAGTCGTAAGTATTGCCCTTACACTTGGATAAAATACAGTGTTTCAATATGTTCAGAGGAGACCTCAACAGATAGAAGCTTCCTCCGATGGATATAAAATAAGAGAGGGGGAAGCACGCCACTCGGTGCAGTAGTAATAAACGGCAATGTACAAAAAATTGAGAGATGCACTCACATAGAGATGGTGTAGCACAGGCATTGCTCGGTGTCCAGCAGGTTGCGTCCTTCCAGTGGCCCCCAATGGATACAGTATGTGTGGAAGGTGGATAGGGAGCTGCTCCTAGTGCATGGTCTCATTCCCCAGCTCCTTTCTCTGTAGCCTTGGCTGCACTGCAAATGAATGAACAGTTTACTATGCTTCAGTTATAAATGGACACAGGAGCGATTGGCACTGTTCGCTCAGTATGTTCTCCTAGATTGTAAGATCCAAGGAACAGGGCCCTCAAATCCCTCTTGTATTGTTACTGTATTATCTCCCACTATAATGTAAAGCGCTGAACAAACTGTTGGCGCTATATAAATCTTGTATAATAATAACAATTTGGAAAAGGAGTCAGCAAATTACATATTTACCTTCCCCTTCTCCTGCTCTCCATCCTGAAATCATCCCCTGCAGCAGCTGGAAGTAGAGGTGAGCCGGAAGTGCTGTGGGAAAGGGGGGGGGAGGTGCCAAAAAAATCAATCTACCTGTATGGGTCTCCATGAAGCAGCTGAAAGCCATGGGAGGGAGTGGAGGAGGAACTACTGCATAGCTACAGGGAGGTCAGTTCTCATAATTGCTGAAAACTACAGGTGACAGCTGCAGGGAAGTGTGAATGGGGCACATAGGAAACCATTGTTTTTCTGTGTGTCCTTGCAGACAGCTGCGAATTTTTTTTTTTTTTTTTTTTAAATAAACCTTAGCTCTCTGCTGTGGTGTGAACAGGCCCTTACGCTCTCCCTTTATGTATTATCACATGGCTTTACGCATTATCTGTATATAGACTGGTTAGTTGGCTAGTCACACCAGCAAATCAAGGGACGGCATGCTTGTTTCTTTTGCTGCCTCCAGTGGTAGGTTATAACAATATCGCTTGAAGAGAAGGCGGGATCTTTGGAAATATCTTTTTTATAGAGTGGCACACAGTGGAGCAGTGGACAGGTTTTGGAATGTATTACATATATAGGTCAATTCGATTCAGAAATAGCTATTCCAACGTAGTGCACAGCTCCACCTCTCAGTTTAAAAAAAAAAAAACTGGAATTCTCCAAAAAGGTGGAGAAGGAAAAAAAGATAAAAATGTCATCAAAGAGATGTCTTGAGTGTAGTAGATATAGAGTTAGGTCCATGTATATTTGGACCCAGGCACAATTTGTAACTCCTGCACATGCACGCTGGACTTGCCTTTTTTTGGTACCCAACTCCATTCTCAGTAGCAGATGCCAGGACTATTCATTGTACTGCACAGGCACCATAATGTGTGTACAGATTTATCAAAAGAAAAACTATTAGCAGGTATTAAAGCGGAGTTCCACTCACCCTGTCAAATAAAAATCTGCAGCTACAAAAACTATAGCTGCTGACTTTTAAACAAAACAGCCACCCACCTGTCCCTCGGTCCCCCGTGGTGTGTCCACCGCATCTCATTTCACTGGCCATCCTGTATTCCAGGAGGCCGGCATCTTCAGTGTGGGCATCCGGCTGTGACAGCTTACGGCTTCACAGCCGGGTGCCCACTGCGCATGCACGAGTAGCGCTGCACTTCTTGAATGGTCCTGTAGTCTTCTGGGACCTGTCACGTGTCCCAAAAGACTACAGGGATGGAGGGAGGGAGGACACCTTCTGATCGCCTAGGCAATCGGAATGGAAGTAGGAGCGGGTGGTACCTGTCAAATTCGGGTACCCGCTCCCCCCGCCCCCCAAAGGTGCCAATCCTTAATGGGGAGCAGGGGAGCAGTCCTTAAAGCGGAACTTCCCCTTTTGGGTGGAGCTCCATTTTAAGTATTTTCTGGTAGAAGTTCATAAATTCTCTTCTACCTGCTAGCAAATTTTTATTTTCAAGGTTTATTTCTGCTTTAAGCAAAGCTGCACGGTCTCCTGTATGGCACTGTTGCTGCTTTTCTGCTTTCTCCTGTAACAAATTTTGCTTATCTTCTAACAGCACCTCATAAATATTACATTGGTTTCCGGTATGTTGATCCGCTAACTGAAGCCGCAATAGAAGAAATGGAGAGCGATGGTGTAGATAGAGCGATCGCCTTCACACAGTATCCTCAGTACAGCTGTTCAACCACCGGTAAGTGTTCAGTGGCTCTTTGGCAGAGTCGGAGTTTTGTCACTTATGCCTATTGTGGTAGCACAATGCAATTCACTATGTTGGGGATTTACTAAAATTGGTGCACATAGAATCTGGTGCAGCTGTGTATCGTAGCCAATCGGCTTCCAGTTTTTGCCCTAGGTTCACACCTAAGTGTTTTCCACAGCGTTTTGCATTTTGCATAAACACACAACAGTCCATTTAACATGATTTCCTCTGTGACAAGTTCACATCTCTACGTTTTCACCCGGTGCGTTTTTTGGAAAGGGTCAGGGACTTTTTTGATTGCAAAAAGTTGCATTTTTGGTTCTATAGAGTTCCATGGAAATGCTGCAGAAAAGCGTGTAGTGTGTTTTTGATGCATTTTGCATTTTAATCTGCCAAGCAACAGGAAAAAAACACGTTAAAAGCGCACCACAAAAAGCACTGCAGAAACGGATCAAACACAAACTGCATAGGTGTGAACCTAGCATTATTGGCTAGGCTTAATTAGACAAGCTGAACTTAGAAGCTGATTGGTTACCGTGCACAGTTGCACCAGATTCTGAGTGCTCCAGTTTTAGTAAATCTCCCCATTGTGTTTGTGAAATTCCTGCCCTTTGGGAGGAATCCGCTTTGTGATTTATTTTTTTTTTTTTTTTGGTTACCTACAGGTACAGTGCCTTGAAAAAGTATTCATACCCCTTGAATTTTTCCACATTTTGTAATTTTACAACCAAAAACTTAAATGTGTTCTATTGGGATTTTGTCTGGTGGACCAACAAAAAGTGACACGTAATTGTGAAGTGGAAGGAAAATGATAAATGTTTTTTGTTTTTTTTTTGGTAAAATGATTATCTCCTAAATGTGTACTGTTTAGGAGAATATTCACTCTTTCGGCAGCCGGTGATGTCACTGGAGCATGTGCTCTTTCAGAGCTCTGTGCCATGGCCCATGACTTGTGCGCATGCTTGGCAGTGTCGTCATTGCAGCTCAGCCATTGAAGCTCCTGGAGCTCGGGAACCTGGAAGGTGAAGATGGAAGCCCTGTCAGTAGTGACAGTGCACTGCTGGAGGGCTTCGTTCTAAGGTAAGTATCTCATAATGTGCTTGTATGCGATGCATATTATGCCATTGCCTTGCAGGAGATTTTTTTCTTTTTGTAATGTAGCAGTTTACTACCGTTTTAAAGTGATACTAAACACACTGTTTGTTTTACATTATCCCTTCTCGTTCTGTATGGGTGATGGCGCTGTGTTTATTTTAATTCAATGCATCAAAGTCCCCTTTTTTTTTTTCCATAATCCATTTACAACTGTCATGTGACCTAGCTCTTTACCAGCCTGTCTGCAGGGAAACTTCAGTGGGAGGAGCTTAGTCTTTTGCTGCCAGTTACATGTTTAAATATTCTTCCTCTGTATTTTTTTTTTTTTATGTCAAGTGAATGTTTTAGGTCATCATACAAATATGTATTTGAATTTATTTTTGTGCAAAGATAAGGTGTAGGCTATCTAGGGGGAGGTTCTACCAATCACAGCCTGTTTCACGCCCCTCCAGCCTGTCTGTATGCCTAGAATTACAGGGAGGTGACACCTCCATCAATCAACATGTAATATAGTGCCTCTATTGTGTAGAGCTGTTTAGTGAGTATAGAGGAGGATGGAGGGAGCGGGCCGTCATTTACCACTCTGAATACACCAACATGTGTGACTTTAAAGTTAGGTGAGCTGCATAGCTAGTGTTACTAAGGACCCTGCATTCACTGTATCTGGTCACCTACAGTACACAGAACATGGAAACGCTATTAGTTTAGTACATATAAAGTGCTACATACCTTTTCTCATCAGTAGTTAGAGCAGTCTTATGACTTCTATCAGTGTCCAGCAGAGCACTAGTTAAAGCTTGTAGGAGGAGTTTTCATTCTCCTCTGATGTCCTATGGCGCTGCAGGACCCTTGACCCTCTGTCTGGACAGCACTGATTGGCCCTGTGCTGATCACATGCACTCTCCCTAGAAAAAAAAAGGTCTAACGATACACACCAAACTGAGCATGTGCAGCTACCCCTCAAGGCTCTGTTCTATCAGCAGATGGATTAGGGACAGTAGAAGGGGAGGATCAGAGAAGTTGGGATCAAACATTCTTTTTACACAATGCAGAGGATTAACCTCTTAGGTTCTACAGTGAGTATAACGAGCATGCTTTACTTCATATACAGACTGATTTTACTGTTGTGGGTTGAGTAACACTTTTAAGAAGAAACAAACAGCTTAGATAAGAATTAAACTGATGCATGCTCAGTAGATGTGGCAACGGCTGGTCTACACTATATCAGGCTGCAGAGGCGACACAGGCAAGGAGGGAGGGACAGTGTACAGCAGGATCAACCAGGTAGAAACCGCTTTCTTTTTAATTGGCCATCATGGTGCTGTTTGATCCCTTCTGGGATTGCGTAGGCTCCCAAGTCATGATATATAATTCACACTAACCAATGAGATCTCATTGTTCTGCAGATTAGTGTAAGGTCTTATTCACACCATAGCACAAATAAAAAGCAAATTGAAATTGTATGTGCGTTGACACGCTTTTTTTAAATATGCATTGAACTGCATTTTGCCAATAATTTGGTAGTGCATTTGTTATAGTTTGTTTCACTATTTCCTCTTACATCCCTTCCAGACACATCGATGCACATTGTAACGTGTTTTAGTGTGCTGGAATGCAAAAAATGCAGTAGTCACTGTAGTCCTATCCAAATTTCATTGGATATAGCTGAAAATAGCAAAGATTTATTTTTATCCTGGAGTGCTGGCTTTGTTACTTTAGCCATGTGTGTATTTTATGTTTTCATTGAGTTTTTAATTGAATATTTCCCACGCAGGTAGCAGTTTGAATGCCATTTATCGGTACTATAATTCCAAGGGGGTTAAACCCACAATGAAATGGAGCGTAATCGACAGATGGCCAACACACCCTCTCCTCATACAGGTATGCAGCAACGGCAAAGCTGATCTGAGTTTCTTGCTGAAAGCCTAACCCCATTTACACTTTCAGTGGGTCCCCCTCCCTACTGCAGGGGGTTAACTACTCATTTTGTCTAGGGAAGTGATCTTAAAATTGTAGCCCGGGGGCTAAATGCAGTCCCACTGCTTGCCTTTCTCCAGCCCTTGGGGCGCTAGTCCTCCCACTGACACCAACAATGAGCAATCCTTTCTACACTGACCTGGACGGATGGGGCCCTAGTCCTGCCACTGACCTGGACGGATGGGGCCCTAGTCCTGCCACTGACCTGGACGGATGGGGCCCTAGTCCTGCCACTGTCCTGGACGGATGGGGCCCTAGTCCTGCCACTGACCTGGACGGATGGGGCCCTAGTCCTGCCACTGACCTGGACGGATGGGGCCCTAGTCCTGCCACTGACCTGGACGGAGGGGGCCCTAGTCCTGCCACTGACCTGGACGGAGGGGGCCCTAGTCCTGCCACTGACCTGGACGGAGGGGGCCCTAGTCCTGCCACTGACCTGGACGGAGGGGGCCCTAGTCCTGCCACTGACCTGGACGGAGGGGGCCCTAGTCCTGCCACTGACCTGGACGGAGGGGGCCCTAGTCCTGCCACTGACCTGGACGGAGGGGGCCCTAGTCCTGCCACTGACCTGGACGGAGGGGGCCCTAGTCCTGCCACTGACCTGGACGGAGGGGGCCCTAGTCCCCTGCCACTGACCTGGACGGAGGGGGCCCTAGTCCTGCCACTGACCTGGACGGAGGGGGCCCTAGTCCTGCCACTGACCTGGACATAATACCAAAGATGGGACGTTATTTACCCCCACTGATACCAGGGGATTTTCTGCTCCAACTTGACACCCTTACCCCCAACCCCCAAAGTCTGCAACACAGTAAACTGGCCCTTTGCTTAGAATGTTTGGAGACCCCTGGTCTAGGGGATGATGAATAAGATGATATACTTATACATTATTCTTTGCTCCCTCTCCCCCCCCCCCCACTGACCTGGAATGTGGGTGGATGGGGAGCCCTTGTACTGTTGTGCAATGCAGGACTGCTGGTCAGAGGTCTACAACCGGACTGGCATTGAAATATTGGGAGGGGCTTGGGGGGATCGAAGAACATTTGCGTAAGCCAGGAATAAGGTAAGTATTTTATTCATCATCTGCGAAACAAACAGCCCCTGTAGTAGTAGGTAGGTGGGCCCACTGCAAGTGTTTTCTTTTTTTTTCCCCCGTTCAGTTTTAAGGTATCTAAACTGTTTGCTAAAACACGGTGTGTGAGAAATAATTGCCCTTTTTGTTTGTTTTTTGGGGTTTTTTTTTTTTACTTTTTTTCTTCTTGTCTTGCCAAGCCACTTCCTGTTTTACGCTCCCTCAGTCCAGAATCTGCAGAAGGCCATTGCTCTGGACTGACTTCTTGATGGTGACCATGGTGGACCAAGCCTGTATAATATGTTCCAATGTGGCTATCTGTAGTGTCCGGCAGGTGTGCTTGTGACACTGTGACAACACACGAGAACAACTGGTTGTCACCACAAACTTTCATTAACATGAAGTTTTTGTGCTGTTTTAGTGACTGAGTGTAAACTAAATTTGGGCAATTTAAACTGATCTTATGATTTAAAAAAGTGAGTACCTAGTGTGCAAACTTGTGAATTTTCTGACCACTTTAAGGAAACAAAGTCTTGCTAGATCACTTCAGGCTGGTCCCATCAGCTATGTAAAACATTCAAATGTTTAAAACCCAATAATACACTCTGCTATGCAGATGCTCGGTTGCTCTCTACTTTTTTAGGCACTGTGCTGAAAATGTAGAGGCCAACCTGCTGACAGCCTAAAGACTTACTGTTGCTCAGGGGCTCTGGGCTTCAGCAAAATGTCAGCCTCCAGCAAAAAGAAACAGGAACAATGCTGGAGGTAATTAACAGCAAACACTAATTTTAGAATTTTGGTAGCATTAGTAATGTGGAATGTATGTTTCTTGCTAAAGGACTTTTTGTTTAGCAAGTTATGTGTGAAGTTCCACTTTTATAACTGTTAATGTAATTTGCAGCCTGACTGGCCAATGGGAAAGCTTTTATGACTCGGGGGGGGGGGGGGGAGCAAAGTTTAATCCGTACAGAAAATTTAATTTTGCATATGAATTCATGAGTTCTAAATTCTGGATCTTCTGTTCATTTTGATGTGCGGCTTGTACTGAGGTAACCCCAGCCTACACGTTTTCTGATGTGTTGCAGTTTGATTTGCTCCGGTTTATGGCATGTTTACTACCAGTTTTAATTGGATGCTTACAAGCAGCGACCAGCTTTATATTTTTTTATATATATATCATTAATCAGAGGCTATCCTTTCACAAATCATTAACACCCTGCCTGTCATTTCATTGGATTTCAGTGTTTTGCTGACCATATCCAGAAAGAGCTGAATATGTTTCCGGAGGACAAGAGAGGAGACGTGGTCATTCTCTTTTCTGCTCATTCTTTGCCAATGACAGTAAGACATTTAACTGCTGTTTTTTTATTACTTTATTTTTCCATTTTCCTATATTATATGCAGTATCTTAAAGGGTAAGTTCACCTTTTGGGATCATATTACAACCATATTTAGGGTGTAATGTGTAACATTCTCCAGACCTGCTCCCAGCACCCCCGTCAGACACCTTGTGACATCAGGCAGGGGATCTTCTCCCTGCACCTGTTCTCACATTTTGAAAACAGAAAATCTGTGAATGAGAAAACTACAAGTCCCATCTGCCACCACGACAGAAGTTTGAATGAGCGAATACTGATTAGCACTCTGGTAGTTCACTCACACTCCCTTCTTCAGGTGTGGGCTGAGCGTATGGGGAGTCTGTGCAAGAGCCTGACATTGCACTATTTTTTATGAGAACCTGTAGGAAGATAAACCTGATCAGTTCAGCATATATATTTTCTAGTATGAGGGGTGTCAGCACGTACATTTCTCCACCTATCTTAAAGTGTATTTCCACCTTTGCAAATGAATTTGACAGCCCCTCACTATATGTTCGTCTTCCCATTCACACAGCATAGCTAAAATAATGTGTTAAAATATATTTTTTGCTTTTATAGATATTTGGAGCAGGTTTATACATAGGACTTTATAGGCAGCTTGAAATTCCTCATAATAGTTTTCAATATGCACTCTGCCGTATGCATATTTGCAGCTATATGTAAACAGTTGACTGCTGAGAGCATTCTTCCTGCGTGCTGCTAGCACAGTAACAGAAGTATCAAGGTAAGCTCTTGATGCATGCTTGTGAATGGGAGCTTTTCAATCATGTGACCTTTTGTGACAGCCAATCACAGCGTTCACATGATTGGAATGCCCCCTTCCACCTCCTGGCATTTTGATCCAGTTAAAGGGTTGAGAGGCGACAGAGGGAAAGGATTAAGGGACAGATGTAGGGACATTTTTTACCACTCAAGCCTTGAGAACTTTAACCTTTTGTTAAAATGTGCACTTCTAGTTTAAAATTGATAATGATATCTGCCAGCCCAGTACAGGCAGGGATAATTAAGGTAATTGTAACTCTCCAGTCCCCTTCTTAACATTACATAGAAGTGGAAAGTTAAGTAATATTTTTCAGCAAGTAAAAAGATAAGCAACAATGTTTAAATGTATATTTTTTTAAAGGTTGTTTGGTTTTTTTTTGTTTGGTTTTTTTTTTTTTCAAGCTTAGCTTTGTGAATGAGAACATGCAACAAATATAAAGTAGGTGCTATCCCAATTTGGATGCAAAAGTGGAAATACACTTTGGGAGGTTCCAACATTGGAGCTCTTAATATGCAGGTGACGGCTTCCTGCTCCAAGGTCAAATCTTTGTTACCTGCATCCTTCAGTCTAGACAGTCTGTGCTTCAACATCTAACAGGAAGGCCCATGGGGGGATATCAGACACGTGTTTTTATTTTACAAAGAATTGATTGAGTTTTGCAAGGTAAATAACAGACAATGCTAAAGCAATACAAGATGGGTAAAATAAAATGGAAGACAGAGATAACAAAGTTATAGTATGTAACACAGAACAAAAGAACAAACCCAAATGGCCACATAACTAGCCACGGTCTTCTTGAATCAAGCAAAAGCAAGAAGTGCACCAATGTAATGCCATGAGGGCACGTTACAGAGTTCCATAAGAAAGAAGATTGGCCACGTAATCGTACGCCCAGAGAGAGGGAATGGAGAAAAAAGAGAGAAATCCTGGGGAGAAGGAAGAGAAGAGGGAGAGAAGAGAGATCCCATACGGATCATTCTATCATGGTGACCTGAGGCTGGTCACAACAAAAATCATATCGACAACAGAGAGCAATCCAGGCACAAACGAAAAATGTATCCAAGAGTCCCAGACCTTCAGAAACTTGGCATGGGTATCCATAAGAATGGACGTGAACTTCTCATGCACCATAATGCCTATAAGGCGCTATTTAACCTCAGAAAAAGTCATAAACGACTGACACCAGGCCTTCGCTATTGTTTGCTGTGCTGCCAGAAAGACAGACCCCACCAGTATCCTCTGAGCTTTGCTCAAGGACAGGATGGACTTGTGCAACAAGGGTTACGTGTTAAAATGATAGACCGGACTGAGTGAATCAGTGGGTAGACCTGGGTCCAAAATCTTAAAACTTGGGGGCAAGACCACCAAACATGAAATGCTGGGCTCCCTGCAACCTCGAAAGCAAAAGGGAGAGGTGAGGTGGAGGGGGAAAACTTTTGACACCCCCGCATGGGTGTCATTTACCACCTAGAAAGCACCTTAAAGACAAATTCCTAGGCAAAGATGTTTCGGGAGCATTTGGAAGACTTCAACCAGATCTGGTTCCAAGTGTCCTGGTCCAAAATCTTGCCCAAACCCATTTCCCACTTAGAAGCACAGGGAAGCTTGCGATACCCCAAGGCATCTGTAGGGGAACCATAGAGGTCCAATACCAGCCCTTCAATGAGGGATCCTTGCAACACCTATTCTCGAAAGGATTCATGCTTGGGAGAGACTTCAACAGCAGGGATTTGCCAGTGTTCCCGCAAGTAATTGAAATATTTCATACCATCTAGACAAGCGCTCGTAAATCTATTTAGTTGCTCTTGCATGCCACCAACAGAAATCTGTGGGGTTGTTGTGGGCAGGGGGAAATTGGGGGGTGTCAAGGACCCCAGATAGCAGACACAAAGACATCAGGCTGGGTTGCTGGGTTTACTTTGGTACTTTGCTTTTAGTACCTTTTTAGTACATGACTACATTCCTAACACGTCACCATACACAGCAACAGTATAATTTGTCAAAACCGCTCATAAAGCTAATATACACTAAGCTGTGCATACATGGCTCAGTGTACATTCAATATAAACATTGCTGCCAGGCAGGAGAGCTCCTTTCATTGCAGAAGAACCATACAAAGTCGCTTCTGAAATAAAATCCTTCCTGCTAGCAATGTTTGTGCTTGAAGATTTTAGTTCCACTTTGAAAAGCAGTCCTTTAAACTCTAGTCAGGGTCATTTGCTTAGGCTGTGATATAATCGGTCTGCTGCAAGCAGGAGGAAGTGTTTCCTCCATCCCATTTCCCTCAGTCATGAGACTGCAACAGTGGAACTTTGTAGGAAGTCACAAGGGAGAGGCCGTAGCTGGGGCTGATCTGTGTTAAACATTTGTGAACACAGCCAAGAACTGCACAAGCACCAGGATTTAGATGACTGTGTCATCGTTGCAACGGTATCCCATTCTAGGAAGTACATGGGGATGCTGGATGATGCCTGAACAAAGATGGTGTCATCCTCCTGGAGGACTGAGGCTGGGTTTTTCACCTGCCTTCTCTTTTCTCTCTGTTTGCAGGTTGTAAATCGAGGAGATCCGTACCCCCAGGAAGTGGGAGCCACTGTGCAGAAAGTCATGGAGAAACTGAATTTTACCAACCCCTACAGGCTGGTCTGGCAATCCAAGGTATGTCCCATGTATAATCAGAGCGCAGTCACTGTGAGACGCAGTACTCTGCACTTATCTATTGCAGCAAGACGAAGAAACTAGCTTTTTTTTCTACAGCAACTCAAAGATGGGACTTTAATTTTAGCACTCTAAACTTACAAAAAAAATAGATTTAAAAAAAGTGTATATTGTGTTATTATATACAAGGATCTTTATGCAAACACTCTATAATTATAATAGAAAAAACATATGTCTATGCAAAATACGTAGGTATTAACCGCTTCCTAACCGCCCTTTAGCAGAACTACTAATACAGGGTGGCAGGGCTGCGCAAATTCACATATACAGTTGTGTTCAAAATAATAGCAGTGTGTTGAAAAAAGTGAGTAAAGCTCAAAATCCTTCTAATAGCTTTTATTTCCATCCACACAAATGCATTGGGAACACTACACATTCTATTCTAAATCAAAACATGAAGAAAAAAATATATCAAATTTGTGTTGTTCCTCTAAAACAATTGAAGAAAAGTGAATATTAGACAATTCAAAAAAATCGCAGTGTTTGTATTCTTCTTTACAAACTCAAACATTCACTATATAAACTGAAAAATGTTTGAAGATTTTGCTTTCCTTTGAATCACTTAATGAATATTTGGTTGTAGTCGCACTGTTTCTGAGAACTGCTGTACATCTGTGTTGCATGGAGTCACCCAACTTCTGGCCCCTGTGATCAGGTATTCCAGCCCAGGATGATTGGACTACATTCCACAGTTCTTCTCTATTTCTTGGTTTTGCCTCAGAAACTGCATTTTTGATGTCACCCCCCACAAGTTTTCTATTGGATGAAGATCCGGGGATTGGGCCGGCCACTCCATAATGTCAATCTTGTTGGTCTGGAACCAAGATGTTGCACGTTTACTGGTGTGTTTGGGGTCGTTGTCTTGTTGGAACACCCCATTTCAAGGGCATTTCCTCTTCAGCATAAGGCAGCATGACCTCTTCAAGTATTCTGATGTATTCAAACTGATCCATGATCCCTGGTATGCGATAAATAGGCCCAACACCGTAGTATGAGAAACATCCCCATATCATGATGCTTGCACCACCATGCTTCACTGTCTTCACAGTGTACTGTGGCTTGAATTCAGTGTTTGGGGGTCGTCTGACAAACTGTCTCCGGCCACTAGACCCAAAAAGAACAATCTTACTTTCATCAGTCCACAATGTATTGCGCCATTTCTCTTTAGGCCAATCAATGTGCTCTTTGGCAAATTGTAACCTCTTCAGCACATGTCTTTTTTTCAACAGTGGGACTTTGCGGGGGCTTCTTGCCGATAGCTTGGCTTCACATAGACATCTTCTAATTGTAACAGTACTCACAGGGAACTTTACACCTTCTTTGATCTTCCTGGAGCTGATTGTTGGCTGAGTCCTTGCCATTTTGGCTATTCTTCTATCCATTCGAATGGTAGTTTTTCGCTTTCTTCCACGTCTTTCAGGTTTTGGTTGCCGTTTTAAAGCATTTGCGATCATTTTAGCTGAGCAGCCTATCATTTTCTGCACTTCTTTATATGTTTTCCCCTCTCCAATCAACTTTTTAATCAAGGTACGCTGTTCTTCTGAACAATGTCTGGAACGACCCATTTTCCTCAGAATTTCAGAGAGAAATGCACTGTAACCAGCATGTACAACATTTGCTGCCTTTCTTCCTTAAATAAGGGCAATAATTGCCACCTGTTTTTCAAAGAATGAATGACCTCACTAATAGAACTCCACACTGCTATTATTTTGAACATGCCTCTTTCAATTAGTGATTCAATTACACAGAATCAGCAGCATGCATGTCATGACTGTTGGGTCTGTTGGATTTCTATTACTCTACTACACCTGCTAGTAAATTATTTGCCATGTAGAAATATCATTTCTACCAAAAACAGTGATTGATCAGGTTAGTGATGTCTGACTGCTATTATATTGAACACAACTGTACATGTGTGATTTTGTATATCCAGGTAGGGGGCGGGTGCGTGCTTCAGCTGTCTATCACCGGGTCTTGCCGGCACCTGGCAATCGCTAAGTATCACTAACGGGAAAGGTCTGTATGTAAACAATACAGATTTTTCCCCTGTCAGCTCCAGCATGCTGCTTTGCATTGCTCAGCACAGCAGAGCGTATACTATAAAACACAGCAGATAGTAAAACACACACACACAGTACACAGTTAACCCTTTGATTGCCCCAGATGTTAACCCATTAATTCTAATGGCACGCCGCCCACACTGGAAATCACAACCACACTGAGAACTGAGGTTCCCTTGCGGGCTGTGGTTTGCAAAAGTGCAGGGACTTCTTCCCTGCATGTCCCAGGGCATGGGAGTCCATTCAAATTAATGGGCTTTTGTGCCCGTGCAAAACGCGGCCCCGCAGGGACGCACATATGTGAACCTGGGCTAAAGGAATCCGCATCTGTTAATGGAGCAATTTGGAAGAAGAGGTATCTGATGACGTTTTGGGCCTGCAGTAGCAAACAAGGACTGTACAAAGGTCCTGTTTAGTTCAATAAGCATATTGAAGTGATAGGTTTTTGGATTGTGGAAGGAACTGACCCCAACCCGATAGAACACCTTTGGGATGAATTAGAGAGCAGACTGTGTGCCACGTCTTCTCGTCCGACATCAGTGCCTGACCTCACAAATGTGCTTCTGGAAGAATGGTCAAACCTTCCCATAGACAATATTGAACCCTACGGACTAAGACTGGGATGCCATTAAAGTTCATGTACGTGTAAAGACAGGCGTCCCCAATACTTTTGGCAATATAGTGTATTTGTGGTACTGGTGGTATAGCATGTGCTTTAGATTAAACGTGATTTACAAAGCTACTCAAATCTCTCACAAAGGAAATAAATCTGCTTTGAAAATCTCCAAATAGACAAAGAACAAAGCCTATGCTCATACAACACATTTTATTCTTTCTATATCCTGCAGACAGGGGAATCCAGTTAGGAATGTCTCTGATCTCTACAGAATGTTTCTGGAGATTGACTGCTGCTGCTTGCCATAGCACCCAATATGCTTCTTTTTTTTTTTTTTTTTTTTCTGATACAGCCTGGTGTGACCTTTTTATTATATCTAGTTAATTATGATCACTATAGTCTTGTCCTGCAAGAGACCAAAGCCCCCACTATATAGCATGCATGTTCACCTATAGTAAATGTACATGCATCTTTCATTTATTGAACCTGTGGTACCCAACAAGCATCTGTGGGCCACATGTATCCCACCAGCACTCTGCATGTGGCCTGCTGTGCTTTAGACCTCTAATCAGGCCTGAAGCACAGCGGGCTGCTTGCTGTGTCACTGCAGCTTCAGTGATCTTTGGTGCTCGAAACACCGGCTATCAGTGACAGCCATAGTCCAGCACTAAGCCTAAAATATATTTAACAAATTAATTAAAAAGATCTCCCCGTGTTATCCTTGGGTCACAGCAAATATTTCAGATGCTCTGGGTGACATTTGTGTTTATCACATAAAAAGCACAATGTCATTCTTAATTATATTGAATTTTAGTGCACCTTAACAAATTAAAAATTTGCTTTGACTTTTTTAATGCAGCGCTCTACAATGAACAGCATATGCATTATGGTGCGCTGCAGTGCAGGTGTGTTGCCCCCTACTGTAACAATGAGGGGGGTCATTCGAAACCATTGCACAGGCTACCATGCGTTGCAGTAACATGCAATAAGGCACATACTTTTCACTGCGCAATAACAATTTATGAACACTAAATGACTGGCACTGCAACACCCTTACATGTACATCATTGCACAGGCTACCATGCATTGCAGCAGTGTACGGTAAGGCATACATTTTACTGCGCAATAACTCCAAAATGTATAAATACTAAACTTTTGTGCTGGAGCCACACTTAAAACCCCTGTGTTCATTAACTGTGCCATCACTGTATTAGACAACCGTTTGGTCACTGAATAATGATCTGGTGGCCAAATCCTTATTCTCTGTAGGCAACTTCAGTCTCGGAAAACTTTTATTTTAGAAACCAGATTCTTCCATTCAACCACTTTTAATAGATTTGCAGCAACAAAAAAAAAACAACATGCATTTTATGGATAATTAGCTGGTTGCCAGAAGTATTGTTTACTGCTAACTGCATTGGTTTTTTTGCCTTTTATTTATATTTTTCTAAACATTTTCTTGCAGACCTAGCAGTGATGGGGTCAGGGCAAACTAAGCTTGCCTGGGGTGCTGATGTGGTTTTAGCAAATCCCCCCCCCCCCCCCCCCTTTTTTTTTTTTTTTTTTTGTAATTTATACAGGAGATCTAAGCAGTAGTAAGCATTCTTACTGGTGTTGAGAGAAAAATATAAATGTAACAGGCCATCCAATATGACCCAGTAAGTGATGTGCAAAATGCTCTACTGCTTGGTGTTCTCTTTACCTTTCTGATTTAAATGACCTGTCAGTTAAAGAAATTCTTTCATACCAGTTCAATGAGAGAATTTAAGGGACAATTTTTGCCTTATAGAGTTCATCATCTAGGGTGTCAGGTAAGGCCTGTGCAGGGCAAAGTTAGTCTCTAAGGGTATCCCTTGAACCCCCCTCTCCTATACACTCATCTGACCAACATTTCTTTCCATCTACTTGCTGCTCTTCAGCTGGTGCTGAAATTGGCTATGTTGAATAGGGCTACCGCAATTAATCTTAGAAGACTCTTTCTCAGCCTGCAGATTCCCACAGGCAATATGGGCAATAGGGCTATTTTAAAAAATACCACTCCTAATATTGGTGATAATTAGCGGCGCGCATTTTATATATATATATATATATATATATATATATATATATATATATATATATATATATATATATATATATATATATATATATATGTGTTTATGTATTAAAAGTGGTCTTTTTTTGGAATAAGTTTTACATAGTGTTTAAAGTGGCAGCTGATTGGATATATTAATGAATATTTAAAAGCATCAATTGGCGCGGTT